GGGGTATAGGGAAAGGGGGTAAAGGTTAGGTGGTGTGAGGGAAAGATGGATTGAGGATTTCTCCCTCTCCCCACCACATACACACATTGATATGGATTTATGTAATACAGGGGTTCGCCTCTTCTTACCGGCCTGGTAATGAAGGAAAGAGGGAGAGGGATAGAGGGGTGGGGTATAGGGGGAATTGGAAGAGGGGGGTGGGAAAGAATGGAGGGATAGGGGGGATGGGAGTAGGGGGTCAGGGGATGGGAAAGAGGGGAGGGATAGAGGGGGATGAGGGAAGGAAATGAGAGTAGGGATTGGGAATGCGGAGGGCGGGGGGGGGTTGGGGTGATTTTAGTGAAAGATGGATCGTGTATGTCTCCCTATCCCCACCACATACACACATAGAGATGGATTTATGTAACACAGGAGTTCGCTCCTTCATAAAGTCCGACCAGAAAGACCGACTCGGGCCAGGTATAGAAGGGGTTAACCACACGGTGACAGAACATACTTGAGAAGTCAGAAGTCTGTTAACTCTGGGGGTATTTATTCTAACATAATGAAAACCAGAGTCTTGAAACACGTAGCCGCCACCAAAGAACGGTGTTTAGGTAGGACATCTCTGGCGGTGCCCTTGAGCAAGACACGATAACCGTAGCCCAAAATAATTGAAAGAACAAAAAAGAACACAAAAAAGAACAAAACAGCCAGGAGCAGGCCAGTAATGGTATATTCGCAGGGATTTCTGTATCCATGTCAATGTGATATAGCGTATTGTGTAGTGATCATCTAACCTTATAAATTGAGTCCAAACATATTGAGACGATATTTCTTCTTTGGAGCATATCAAGGAATTCAATCAGGGTCTGAAGGGAAGGAAAGTACACTGAGAAACTTTGACAACCTACTTCCTTTGTGTCTCCCGCCTAGGCTTAGCTGTATCAAGCTGTATCAGACATACTGCTTTAAGATCGTCTGTCAAGACGTATAAGACCATAAATATTTGACCCTGCATTATTTTATGCTTTGATTTTACTAGCCATTTTAACCAAACTCACACTCCCTCCTCACCCCCACCCCTCTCTCTCTCTCTCTCTCTCTCTCTCTCTCTCTCTCTCTC